ATGAAAATCAAACAATAGATGATTATCTAATTGCATCAACAGGTTTACCATTAGAAAGCGAAGCATGCAAGGCAGCACAACAATACAAGGTTTTATTTGAACTTTTATTTTGAAAATATAATTGAGTCTTTTTATAACAGTTTTTTTTCTCATCACCCTTAGATAAATGAGACCAGTCGAGTTAGCAATGGGATAAACCATCAAAATTGAAAGTCTATAGCTATTTTTTTGTTGGTGTATTACTACTTGTTACAGCTACAGTACGTCACATATTGAGATAACGTTATCAAACAGAATTTATAAATATACCACAACAGCAACAACAACACCATCTAGCAATGTCGTTACAAACATAAATACTGCAGCAGACAACATCACCTATGGAAAGTCTGCCACTTACTTATAATGAAGCAGTGCAACGATCTTTAATACAAGAAACAAGAGTCTAGACTGTCTATGCCGACAATGATATCACTCTCTCGGTAATACATATTTTTTGTTCCTATATGAGTTTGTATTATGTCTAAGATCGTTACTGCTAGTAACCTAAATATATGATTACTGGCAGTGACAATAAAGATACTTCTTCAATTTGCTCTTATATATTAAAAGAAGTCTATCTAATGTCGTGGAAGACTTTTCTAGAGACTTTTTTTCTATCCTTTTTATTGTCGTAATTTTCTCAAAATGATCATTGGACTGTTGTTGCTATCGAAAACCAGTTATTGTATTCGTTTGTGTTGTAAGTGACTGGAACTCTTTAAGTTTGATAATAAGAATCTCAAACACAACAAAAGTTATGTTGAAAATGATATTCGTGTCTTATATTTGTAAAGCTTCATGGAGTGCACCAACAAATGCATGATGTTCGCAGGGTGTGGATGTTGTCGTTCTTTTCTATTACCCACACACCTACACCTACATCCACGCTCACACCCACACTCACGCTCACGCTCACACCCGCATCCACACCCACACCCACATCCACCACCCACACCTACACTCACACCCACACCCACATGAATGCATGACACATACTTTTAATTTTCTCGAAAATTTTCAACTCTGTAATCCTGAAACCTTCAGGATAAGTCAAGCCATCAAACATATATCAGTGATATAAATATGAGCACGAACGACGTTATTGGCAACAATTGATAGGAAAAATAAAGTGTTCCATCTATTTTGACCTGATAGAGAAATGAGACGTAGGATGTGTGGGTATGGGTGTAAGTGTTGCTGAAGAGAAAATTCCACTATCCTCATTCACACACCACAGCAACAGAAAAACACCCATAACCGCTCCAGCAAGGGCAGGATGTTAGAGTCGACCTATTGCATACAAAGAAAACAGACTTAAGGAATTATAGTCTTCATCTTTTCCATGAAAATTGCTCTGACGAGCATACTCTTCATTAATAGTTAAGGAATTAAGGCATTGTTTGTGTCATAGATATTTTTCTTCCACATGACCTGCGGAAGACGTCCACTAGCGATTTCAGCAGCTCTCACCACAAGCTACAAATGTGAGATATAAATATTCTCTTAACGTCAATTATTTGATGGTGTGATTGTGTATGTGGATATAGATGAAAGAAATACATTCCTACTCATACACACACACTTTGAATCATTTTTTCTACTTGATACATGTTTTCACTGTTTCCTTATCCTTTTATTTCGTCACTTCTTAAACGACAAACGAAAAGAATGCTTAACGTCGTTTTGTTTTTGCTATGAAGCTTACATGTTCAATGGCAAGTAGAAATACAAAATTTGCCTTGCATATTCAGTGTTATTCTTTGTTTTACAATGAGAAAAGTCAATATTTGTTCTGTCATTACGATCGTCCATTGAAGGAGCAAAATTCAGCATAGATTTATTTTTGAATAGAAAAGATTTCATTGGTGATTATTGTTAAAAAAACATTTTCTCATGAGATCCATGTAAAAGTACCACCTGATGAATTTTTTGCGTTTACGTCTTGCAGTTTCATTGAAAAGATGATGTCTTGCTTCTAATGCTCTGTATGTTTTACATTAAAAGTAAACGAAAACGATGTACTAATTTATGACAAGCTATAAAGAATAATGAACGTACTTCATTTATTGTTCACAACGAAAATGAAAACAAGAAACAAGCCGTAGTCGTTCGATTGTTTTTTGTTGAAAGAGGATGAGTAAAGTTTTGCAACTAAACACTTTTGGCAATCAAGCTTCAGAATAGGTTTAAGAATAATTTCCTTTTTCAAATTATATCAACAAGGAAGAGTCTCTATATCACACGATCCTTGTAAGCAGAGTATGAACTATTAACAGCAACATCATATATTTTTCAGAAACATGAGTGATCGTACTAATGGTATTTTGGAAAAAAAAATTAGTATTTATTATTCAGCAACCTAGAGATTTTTCACTTTATCAGGTCTTTATGAAAGAGCAAGTTCATGCAAACAAATCAAATACAATTTTGTCGCCGATTTGTATAGCTTTCAGAGAAGAAGAAAGAAAGAGAGAACAAATATATAAGTAGTGTCCCACTTCGCCCTATTTCGCACAAACAAACCGAAAAAAACAAAGAACTGATCAATTCAAAAGTGAGCATTGCTTTGTTTGCTTTCAATTTTTTCAGTCGCATTAAGTTGACTACTGATTCTTATTTAGAAAGAAACTAATACGTGGTAACAAAGTCCTTATTTCAATATATATTAGTCCTCTGCCTATGTGCATCATTGAGGCAGTCTGAAACAACGCCTGAAACTGCCTGAAATAGTCAAAACGGTATAATTAGTATCCTAAACGACAAAAAAACAGTAGGCATTTTCGCCGTATCTGACAGCTTTCTTTCAGCTCAGATTATGGGCCGTTTAAGACCGTTTCTGTCGAGTAACGATGAGTGGTAATAGAGCCCTATTATAGATGTATTTATGTTCTTTGCTTCGTTTTTTGTTCTTTACGACTCACTTAATCTATCTCGATTCCGTTTTATATTTCACTCTACATATGTTTCCTGATAGTATGAGATATATTGTTATATACATAAGATCTTTACATACAAATGAACATGCCAAAATTTGTACAAAGCATCAAAATAACAATATGTACATACAAAGAGACGGATTAATTATTTATTTAAAAATAAAGTAAACGATGCTTTCCAAAAAGATTAACTCATCATTATAAGATTCACTGAGTTCAAATTCAAAACATTTGTGAATAAGAGCATTGCCATCGGCATTTTCTTCTGGTTGCAATCGTTTTCGAGCTGTTATTATCGATATGAAATGGCAAGATCAGGACTAGACCTAATAGCCTTCTAATTGTGTATCAGTTCTTAAAAAGAATCAGCCCTATCACCTCATCTACGGTATTTACCTATTACGAAAAACGATGAATGAATATTCGAACATGTGTGTTTTCTTTGAATGACTTGACAATCGAGAAGACGTTTATCATCATGAAGCATAACGAAGAAATCTTTCGGAGAGTTGTGCATCATATCATTGAATAGATCCCAATATAATATATGAAATAGCTCAGGAAAGTAAATCGTGACCTCACATTAACAAAAACAGTTACTAAAAATTAAAAAAAAAGAGTGAAAAGAACTTTGATCTCAACGAAGAGTTTCATAGAATCATTTGCATATGCTCTAGTTGGTGATAATAGTTAATATTATTTAGAATTGTCTATAAATATTATTAAAAGGTGTTCAAAGATGATTTTTAGACACTTCTTTAAAGCTATGAAAGTGCCATGAACACACTGAAAAACTAGAAGTTGTACAGACAAACGTTTCAAGTGGCACGTGAACGGTCACAGTAAAGGATATTTAGCCTCTTAGAAATTTTATCTCAATAAATCTTAGTGAGTAGGAGGATCCTATAGCAGCTTCAAAACTATTCATTTTTGTTGCCTTATATCTTTCCGAAAAAAGTCATCAAATAAAGATGAAAAATTTGAAATTTACTCTTGGATTAATAATAAGATCTTGTGAAGAGTTTATGTTAAGATTAGAAGATTATCTAGTAATAAAGTGCCTGAAAAGATTGAAATCAGAGAAAAGACGTGTAAGTTTTTGATATGTTCAACACAACATTTTCAAACATAAAAAAAAGAAAAAGTGTTAGAACTATATGTAAACATTCTCTTTTTTCTGTCTTATAGTAATGTTGATAAACATTGCAATGCAAGGGAGAGAAAAGTATGTTGTTGTCGCATTTCAGTGTTTGTCAACATTACTATAGAAAGAAAAAAAAGAATGTTTACATATAGTTCTAGCACTTTTTCTGGCTTTTATGTTTGAAAAAATGGTGTGTCGAATGCCTCTAAAGGTTACACGTCTTTTTTTTTTGAATAAAAGTAAAAAAATGATAAACGAACTCATATTATTAGCATTGTCATTTATTAAATTTATTTTGTTTAGCAATATAAATGAAATCAGAGAATAGCACCCATACATACTTGAAATGTTGTTTTTGGATATTCGTAGGCTTCTATGGCAACGACCTCAATTTTTTTTTTACTTTCTATTGTTCAAAAATAGCGCGATATCTTTTTGTATGAGAAAGTAATATGAAATTCTCTACATGCTTCATCATGGCAAAAGTTATTTCTTATTTATATTGACTCAAAAATAATCAAATTGTTTTGAATTATTGCCATTCAGATTGCATCACTTGACATCCATCAAAAGACTCACTGATGGCTTCTACCGCATCTTTATCTAGTAAATCGTCTACTCGCATTCAGTGGATGTATAATTCGATTGCAAACTCATTTTCAAAGTTCCAGCCAATCGGCTGGCGTCTTTATTCAGATGTGGAAAATATGATCATTGAAAAAGCATTTACAGCTGGTGAAACTCATGTGATGTTAGATGATTACAACATTGATTTGACACGCAATCTTCAAATCTCCAACAATGATGTCAACAAACAGCTACATGTCAAACGAATGGTATGTTGTATAAATGAAAAACGTTTGCGGGAGGAAAGATTCATGCCCAATCCTGTCGCTCCCAAACGTTCTTTCGGTGGTCTATACGGCTTTATATCACCTTTCGTCAAAGAAACAGTAAAAGACTTAGAGCTTACAAAAGAACAGTTACCTTCGAAAAATGAAGCAATAGTTCCAATACTCGTAGAAAAAGCTGCTCTAGGTATCATTCAGGAAGGACAGAAAATCGGAAAATCACGCGAGGCTGAACATATAGCTAAATTATTAAGGGAGAAGAAAGAAGTATGGAAGTGCTGTGCATATCTCTATCCCCTGGAGAGCTTTTTATACCAGAAATTGAACGAAACTATGCGCTTAATATGAAATGCAGAGCACGAACAAGTCTGGCGAAGTAAGGTACGCACATTTGGTCCATTTTGTCTGCTGTTATGGGATAATCCATACAACAATAGAGTATCCAGACCAGGAACAATACTTTATCGTGGAGCCAAACTGTCCACCAATTCGATCGCCTCATTCAAGGCTGATTGTTCGAAAAATCCCAGACCATTGCGCTCCTTTCAAGCGTTCACTTCGTGCATTCGAAACCGCCATATAGCTGAACTATTCGGTAATGCTTTGTTTATCATGGAAATACAAGTCACTTTCACTGTTGATCTCAGCCCACTATCTGAATATCCTGATGAAAAAGAAGAGCTATTATTTCCTGGTGTTTCCTTTACAATTGATCGGATGGAGCTGGATAAAAAGAAGAACAAGCACGTGATTTACTTAACTCTTCATCAAAAGCATAGCAGTAAGTAAACATAATCTTTCACTGAATATTTATTTTTGCTGTTATTTATGTAGTTTACTCATACTCTTATTTCACCCTATTTTTCTACTGGATTGCCAGCTTTCTTTCTATCAGCCCGATTTCTAATATATTTTAAATCAAAAGTAATGCAATACTGTATTTAACTTAACTAGATCAGAATACTTTAATACCAGAAAGTTAAAAAGATAAATAGGATAAAATCTAATTCCGATAAACACGTGAAGGTCTAAACATTCAGGGAATGATGTATAAAGAAGTATTTGCAACCGAACTCGTACAAACAGCGTAAATTATAGATAAAACTTGCTCTGATCACTGAAAAAAAAATTATTTTAATTATTGAGAGTGTACATACCTACATAATCTTCTCCGCATTTGTGGTCTCTTTCTCTATCATCAATAAACTTAATCAAAGAAAGAACAATTTCCGTTTGTAATGAAATTTGTGAAGATTCACCTACAATCTTGATCACCAGTTTTTGAGAATATAGTAATGGTGTTGCTAGAGACACGAAAATGATTGGAACGTAGCAAATATTATCTAAAACCAAGGAGATATCAAAGTCTGCATTGAAATATAACAAAAAGGAACTCTTAGACACATTAATTCATCAAAACCTATTGATTTTACACTCGTACTTCAATTTTTCTATGATCTATGCTTTATTCTGATTGAGTAATTACCTTATAGATTAATATTATCTGTAAAGGATTTCTAAATACTCAATGGTTACGGCCATCTTGAGGATATCGTTGGATGAAGGTAGACATGAAAAGAACTCTTACCCTCACCCACTCTCGTCCTCAAAAAGTTGTTGCGAAGTGTTTATTCTTCAAAGGAGACAACAGTGCGCTGCTTTGATTGCGCCAGATATCTGGACTAGGTCAGACATGAATTTAGATAAGGAGCGATTAAATTATTTATTCCTCTTTTCCAGAAATTTTCTCAGATTTTGCTAAAGAAAAATAAAGGGAAAACAACTTCCAACTACTTTGAGTGAACTCTGGAAAGATTTTTTTTCAATATATGGACCACCTATCCCTCTGCTCTATATATCCTACAGCAGTCACTGTGTTGGAACACAAAAAAAATGGTCATAACGCGAATCCTTCACAAAATTTCAACTTTAAAATACAGTTAGGTGCTCAGTAGGCTCCTATACTATCGAAGTCAGATAGTATAGACATTAACTATATTTACAAAATGGTGCGGTTATGATGAATCCACAGCTCTTCTAGAGTCTATTTTGTATCGTTCGAGACGACATATTTTTCATCACAACCAGGGTTGTCGATTGTTTTTAGAAGGGGGGAAGAAAATGACACCAGTGTTCATTAGGTCGTACCGTACCCCCCCCCCCCTCGGGCTTCCATACAATCGGTCATTTCTCCCAGCAACCGTAAAAAATTGGCAGACAGCATTAAAAATTTTCGCAGACAGACAGACAATTTTGGGAGGATAGCTCCATCCCTCCCTAATCGAAAAGCCTGATCACAACCGCAAAATATTTTCTCACATAAACCGCACAGTGCTACTACATGCATATGAAATCTAGTTAATAACTTCTCTTTTCTGCATTCTCATTAGAAGCTGATCAACATCAACTAATCAAGAACTCTTCATACTCCACTGTAACAGATAGCAGTACTTACGGTGATTCTCTTGATTCTCTTGATTCTCTTTGTGCTGATTTTTGTGCTCGTGCTGCCCATCTTCGTCTTCGTCGTGGCTCGCATTCTTTCTTTGGATATGGTGCTGCTGATGGTACCTCTATTTCTAAGTCTGCTCTTCGTGATGGTTATGATTATGATTGGTATGAGAATTGAAATAGAACATACTTGAAATCAGATTTTGCTTTACGTTAGCATTTCTATTGACGTTGAATTTTTGATTGATATTGGTTTTTCTTGCAATAAAGAAATATTATGTTCTTGGAAAGAAGTTTGTTGATTTTTAATGTATAGATGGCATGTCTGCGTTGGAGATTGTGAGTATGAATAATCAGAATACTCACACCCAGAATAGCATAAACATTTTTTTATCGTTTTTGGGGGAAGTGATAAACCAGCTGGACTTGACCTACACCCAATTTCGCTCATAATAATCATCCAAAATCTTCTAAATAATAAAAATATTTGTCATCTTTTACAAGCGGATTGAGTTTAGATTTGTAAATATATATATGCCAAAAGCATTTCTTTTGTTGAATGAAGTAATTGATACTTTCTATTTGCATGGCTCTTTTTTTTGTAGAGAAATTCAATACTGTATTATAGTTCTTCATCTCTCTATGAACATTAGCAATGATACATTAACTATTTCTGATCATTTCACATATCTCATAAAGATTTTCTTTACCGATCATCTTGATAATTTTTTTTATGCTATTCATTAAAACTAATCTAACATGGCATGAGATCATCCACAATGGCCAGTTCGAGTTCTTCAATAGAAATTCGTAGAAGTTCTGTGTAGATTGACAAGGGTGTGACATGTAGAGTGTGGTTGTGGGTAATAATGAATGTGGATGTATGAATAAACAGGAAACATACACCAACACTGACACTCACACCTTTTCAATATCACTTTTGGCTTTGACTGAGAACATGATTTATTCTTTCGAATTTTAGAGAAAAAAACCACAAGGGGTGAACACAAGTCAGTAGAGCGAGATAGTATGTTATATGTGGACTCCTATTCGAATCATCAATAATGCAAACGAGAAGCTTAATCAGGTATCACATACGACTGGTTTTCTTGAATTTTGATAAAATCGTCCCGCTTGACATTGAGCGAGAAAAAAAAGGATCTCATGAAAATTGTCGATGGCTCATACTCCTACCAATATATATTAAATAATGATAAAAAGTACGCTGTGTTATCATATGCAACTAGTCAGCTATTTTCTTAGTATCTTCTTCTTACAGTACGCAAGTATTTAAAGAATCTGACCTCTAAGTCTTATCCTTTTCTTCATCGTAAAAAAGAGACTCTTTCTTCGCTTTACTATCGAGATAAGTCAATGTAAAATAATGAAAAATGAAGTGTCTTTCTCTTTAGTTCTTCAAGTTTGCAGTCACGGTCGCTTTCGTGCATGTACACGAAAAAGAAAAGAAAAAAAAACGAAACTTTTCACATACACTGTACTCATCTTGCCTTTCTTAGAAAGCGTCCGACAAAGCTCAGAATGCACAATGAAAAAGGACAGAGGAAGAAAGAATCTAATGGAAATTCCATTATCCTAAGTATAGATGCTCTCTTCATTAGCATCCACATTCTTGTTATTGGATTATGAATGGGTTTTTCGAGTTGAATACTTTTCTATATATTGGTACAGGTACAGATACACATATTGTTTTTCGTCTTTCACAGTCAGTAAATGGTTTGAAAAAGTTTTTTCTATTTTTCCATTATCGTATAAATGAGATCAGATCGAACCGAAAGTATGAATCATTTCTACTGATCTGATCTTACTATCATCGGTTAAAAAACCATTTGAGTAATATATAATTTTCAATGAATTGATTTACATGCATACCAACCATAAAAAAATATCATTGAATATTCTTCAATGATAAACAATGATAATAGTTTCAACAAACCAAAAAGAGACAGTTCAACATAAATTAGGAACTAAAAGACAGAATCAACACATAATAGTGTAGGAAAAGATGTATATGATTGTTATTGATTTTTTTTAGATTAGAATAAGATACGTAAATTAATGCATTATCGTTTTGAGAAGATAATCTTGTAAATCATATGAATCAGAACATGATTCACGAGAGATGACACAAAAAAGTGCTATTTGTAGACTAAATAAATCGAAAAAAATGAGCCTTGAAGAGTTATTTAACATATGATACAAATAAATCTTGAATTCGATATTTATAGACTATGATAAAAAAAAGAAAACGTGATTGAAGAACTATGCAGCATGATGATGAAGAAATGTGTCTCAAAATAAACAAAATAAAACAATATCACTGTGAATACTAACAGCAGCTACATCGCATTTTCACATTGTGATCCTGCAGGCATGGGGCTAATCACGTTTTTTTGAAAAATAAACAAATGATATAGAACGATTTAAAATTATGGCTCAAATATCCTCTTCAAAGTAATATATTGAAGGAGAACGTTAAAAATGTTTTATTCAACAGCTGATGAAGTTTAATGATTAACAACTTCAATGAAATGAAAATATGTCTCTCGAAGAATTCTTTTAAATTTATTCAATGAAAAACTGATTATTGATCACGATCTCAATAGTTGAATGACTAGTCAACTACTGATAAAATCATATTTCATCAATAAAAGTAATTGAATCGGTTCGGTTCGGTTTGAGTTGGACCTTGATCATCTAGCTGATTATCCTAGATTCGGAACAGTTGTAACGCAAAAAAATTTACTATCAATCACATGTGTAGAGTTTTTATTTCCATTACAATAGCAGATGACAACAATTTACAATTTGAAAATATTGAAGTTTTTGAATATTAATATCGAAGATCGATAAGAGAATTAGAACTATTGAGAATAAAAAAAACATATTGTTTTTAAATAATTGAAGTCGAATTTGTTCAAAAGATACGCTAATGATTCTATTAATGACATATTTTTGTTTCTTTCGAAAAGACTCGTAAAAAAAAATCAATTGAATTCAAACTGTAATTATGTTAGACATTCTTTTTTCAAAAATCTGCGTTGCATGATATTTCAATTGTTACACTTGCTTTCTTCGATGTATCATTCCATTAGAAAAATAAATGTGCATCAAAGTCTATGAGTCATAGACAAATTTCAATAAACGTGAGTTATCATTCTTTAAGCATTCCTTGTGACCTGTGTTTGGTACATCGAAAAAGAACGGTGGCTCTGCTTTGTTACTCTAAGAGTCTCAAAAATAGCAGCTCATATGAATTATCATGATGTTTTTTTTATGGAGAAAACAGACGAATGGCTTTGACTAAAATATTTCTATGATTAAAAAGCTGTTTGATTAATTGTTGGTCGGGAAGGAATTATGAACTATACTACCATAGAAATCAAATCACTTTGCTTAAAATCTTGAAAATCTAAACTTCGAGTACGACTAAATGCATTCATTGTTTAAGTTTAAAATAAACAAAAGAAAGTGTTACGACCAAAAAAAAAATTTAAACATATAACTGAATCATGTCTACTGTTGTTACTGAATCCATTGTTAATGATTGTTCTCCGACTGGAAATCATCGAAACAACGAGAATTATAGTTCGTTGTTTTCTACTTAGGCAGCAACATATTTGTGACTTCTTTTAACCATATCTAATTGACCAATCAGAAATTCATTTCGAAACATTGTTTAGACAATGATTTTGTCCTATATGGTGACTTCTGACGCAATAAACATGCTTCGTATGACTGAACATGGAAAAATATTCAACTTTCTTTTTTATGGCGACGCCGTTGCTGCAAAAAAGAAACGGCTGACACATCTATGTAAGATACGAATTGATTGGTTGACTTGTTCGATTTTTTGTCCATTCTTTGTTTCTTGTCCCTTTAAAATGGAAAACATGATTAAAAATTGCCAGTCTATAGAAAATTTCATAGAAATGACATCTTCCATTTCTGTTGAAAAACAAACACTACTAGTATTTTGTTATTGCTTGTACATAGCAATGATGGTTTCTTGTTTCATGACCGTCATGTTGAATATCAACAAGTACTCCATTTATCGTCAATATGAACTTGATGCAAAAGATTTCTCGTTGCAAACAATCTGTCGTATCGATGATGTCGTCTCACGTTCTCAGGAAATGGAAAGTTCCACATTGACGATAACTAATACTACATTTCTAATTTCATTCGAAGTAACTTCCAATGGAAACAGTACAGAACTATCATTTGAAGAATGGTCAGTTCCTGTACCACTCAAACCGAATCTGGTCAGCATAATCATACAAATGCCATTAATTTTATATTAATCTATATTTCTTCTATTGTTTTTAGATAAACAGCACATATTTATGCTTTATTGATCCAAGTGATATTCGACGACGACCGCGTCAACATAAACCGAATGTAAACTTGGCTCTCAATACGGTTATCGGTTATCTTTTAATACCTGGATCAATATTCGGATTAGGTGTCATTGTAGCACTAGTCATGTTCATTAGTCAACGGTTATAAATGATTTAAAAACCATGTCCATCAATTCTGTTTCGTATATGAACATATCCTACTAATTCAACATAAATAACCAATTAGTTTTTTTTAATTATTCAGTTTTTATTCTGGAAAATAAATGAAAGCTCATAGAAAGTAGAAAGAAGACATCGAATTGTGGGTTGTGAAGTGTGGGTGTGGGTGTTAGCAGCGTAACCAGAATTTTGACGGTGATGGGGCGATGATGGAGCTCTAGCTGCCGAAATTCTGCTCAATGGTGGGACTTGAAATGGAATTTGGCTGGAGCAAGTTTCTTGGATGGTGGGGCTCAAAGCTCCAGCGATGGGGCTGAGCCTCACCTGGTCATACCCTGACTACGCCACTAGTGGGTGTGGATGGGTACCTACTCTTCACGATAACCCCCATATCCACACTCTTATTGCAATTATGAGGGTGTTGACAGAATATAGATCACTGAAATGAATCTCCACACCCTGAATTAGGTAACCCCGTGTTATAGATTTTTATGGCATATATAGATGAAAAACTCGATATGATTAGGTCTGTTATTGAATAAACGCGCCATTTTTGTCGATATAGCATTTGTCGAACGTTACGAGCAACAGCTATATGCATATATTGATCTCCTTTCGTTGTTCTTTTCTTCCTAGGAAA